AGGTACATGTTTATATCAGAAGCGAGCGAGCAGAACGTACTAAAAGCAAAATAGTACACAATTTCGAGTTATAGACCGAAAAACATTTAAAACTCATGCAGCTTTAGAGATTAATTAAAAACATATTTTTCTAGCACCAACCAGTTTTCTTCTTTTATTAATCCAGCTATTTGATTACATTTAACGCTTTTTTAAGTTTTCTTGTCACTAGATTTATCTCAGTTTTCGTAACGATGATATGAATTTATGTAGGTCGGAATAAGTGGATGTATGTCACTCTTCTAAACCATTGTTTTGTTTTGCTAAATAAGCATACTAATTTCACATATCTGAGGCAGTAGTACTCACGGGAAGTTATACGAGGGAAACTCTTTATTGCTTAAATAATGTCCAACTTAAATATATCAGCCTATATATTATTTGATACAACACATTAAAATTTTGAATAAATATTTTCGATTTATGTCAGCTGAACTGGTCAAAAAACAAGGAAAAACAGGCTTTTTTTCTATTTGCTTTGGTGCTCTTTATATGATGTTAGATGTGACGTCAAACGGGTGCAGTTCTTTACTAAGTTAACGCAAATAAAAATTTTAAAAATAATTTCTGTTTTTGTCTCTGAAATTTGGTATACAGATAATAAGTAAATACATTCATAGGAATTAATCACTAGGCCAGTTTTTTTTATATTTCTCGGTTTGAAGTAAGTGAAATAGTCTTTCGGAGCTACAGTAGTTTAAACAGTTTAATAAGGGTGTATTGACTACTCACTTTTCGGAAATACTAACAATATGCATACTCGGAATAAGTTGATTTTTTATATAACAGTAATAGGAGTCATACTTGGTTTTGCAGCAGAGGACCTTCTTCAAAATAAATGCATTAAACTGATCAAAATGCAAGAACTGGAGGTAATATTTAATGATCGTTAACGGAACATAAAAGTGAACAGAATTATTGAAAATTCCATATAACAAGGTTATATGGTTTCGCCATTTGCGCTGTTTATTTAAGGTGATCAGTCTTAAATAACTAATAAATACTCGTAAACTCCAATGAACTTCGAAATAGTGCATTTTCCATGAAAATCTTTGTTGAATAGTTCGCTTTTTACCCATGGTTCATTGGTACTAAACAATGCGTTTTCATTTTGTGAACTACGCTGTTTCGAGTAGCATTTAGAGCTATCTAGAGGATTCTATTAACTGAGGTATTAACGGTGAATTGTTTCAGTAATAGATTAAAAAAGTTAGTTCTAAGGCACAAGTTTAGAGGAAAAGAGAAGTTAGATAGAAAGGCATTTAGCAACATCATATTCAACTATTTATCAATTAATCATTGCGTTTATTGAGTAATTGAGCTGCATTTATTTATCACTCTTTCAAGCTTTCACAGCTTATACTTTCGTAGCGTTCTAAGCACTTTCGGTAGGTACGAAAAACAAACATAATAATGTTTCAAAAATCGCAATATTTTTATTTTTATATAACTTTACAAAAGGTGTTATTTAAACGCTAAATGCGGATATCACAAAATGAGTTTCAGAACATTTTAACAAAATATTTCAATCTGTCCTAAACTG